CTTTCCCTAGCACCTTATAGAGCAGGAGACAAAATGTCTTCACTCTTCTAAAACATGTTCTGCTTTTCATTTCTCACTTCAGATATAAAAAAGCCATTTTTATCAGCCCCGCTGCTAGACTGGAATGTGGTTCAGAGGAAGATGCCCTGGAGCATTGTGCTGCTGCTGGGAGGAGGTTTTGCTTTGGCTGATGCAAGCGCAGTATGTCCTGACATCTGTTATTCTCTGACTCAAAGGCGAACTTCTCTGGTTTGTTATCTAGTCCTGTATTACTGGGCATGCACCCAAAGCCAAACCCAGTAGAGATGTCCAGATCTGGAGGTAGATCCAAGTTAACAAAAAATTGGGAGGAGAGTTGAACGTGCCTCATTTTCAGGAATTTGTGTGCTTTAATCAAGTTTCTTCAATTTATCTTGCCTCTTAGAGGTTCATGAGTAATTTGGGATCTTCACTGGCTGGACGGGCCAGAAAAGCAGACTTTCTTATTTCTGTTATCATCCTGATCCCAGCCCTGACTAGAAAAACAGAAGTATAGATAGCACTTGTAAGATTTTCAGAACCTTTTGAGATATGTTTAAAGGATATATCTCTTCAGATTTAAACCAAACTACTACTGAAGTGGCCAGGAAGAAAACAATTGTGGGTAGATATCTTCCACAATTGTGTACAGTGGAGTTTCTTGAACTTCTGTTAAGAAGTAACTGTTGCCAGGCAATATGCTGCATTTCACAAGCCCATGGTTTGATCCTATGTTCATAAATTCACAGAAAAGGCACCTGAATTCCCAAAGCAGGAACGAATCTTGGGGTGAACCATGTGGTTTCCTTCATGCATCTAAATCAAAGCAAGCCTTGGCTATCAACAGTGCCATGCTTTGGGGAAATTCATATTCAGATGTAAGTTTTATGGGTAGCTGGTTTTAAACCATGGGACAAATTAAAGCTCTAGAGCCTTACATTCATCTACATACATCATACATACATTATTAAAGCTCCAGAGCATTAGAAGCCATGAAGCCAAAGGTTTTGTAAGCTGCTTGAGTCAATCACTGCCTATGTTTCTACAACAGAGCCTTCATACAGCATCAGTATCTTCAGAAACCTAAGAAAAACATGTCAGGAAATTTCCAACTGATACATTCAGCACTTGCAATAGTCTCAGCAACAGTTGTTTCTGTTTCGCAAAAAAAAACAACCAACATTGTAACCAAAGTGTGAGCAAGTGTTTGTGTTCCAGAAAAATTGGGAAAGTGAGACTCAGTATTAGGTGTAGTTGGTAAGGAATTTGTTTTAGTGTTTGTGACAGATTGTTGTACTTTCCTGGATGGTGTTTAGCATTATTTGGTAGGAATGTTACTCATCACGTGAATTCCTTGTTCATGATCTAGGGGTTCTAAGCCTCACTGAAAAATCACATTTTTTTTCTTGCCAGAACTCTGGGCTCTCAGCTTGGCTGGGTCATCAAATGACTCCACTAGGATCTATCCCACCGTGGGCCATTGCGACAGTACTTTCGCTTATTATAGCCGTCTTCACCGAATGCACCAGTAATGTTGCCACAGCCACCCTCTTCCTTCCTGTCTTTTCATCCATGGTGAGGTTACTTCCATCCTGTTATACCCTATCAGCTGGGAGATGAGAGTTAAACTGACAGCCTGTAGTGGCAAAGCAGTATCGTATTTATTGTCTTGAATGTTGCTCCAATGTTAATCTGAAAGCCAGTAACGAAGCAGTCCACCTGACAGTACACTGCAAGGGAGAGTCATCTTAGCTGGTGCTCACTGCTATGTTTATAGCACCATATGTAGGTAGAAAGTGAGAATGCAAACTTTCTCCAGTCTGCCCTCCCTATGTGTCTGAACCCCGAGAACCAGCTTCTTGGGGGGAAGAAGATAATTCAGGATTCCTGTCCCATGGCACCCTTCCTGAAAAGGAAGCCAGTTCAAACCTTCTGTAAGGTGCGTCCCTTGGCCCTGGAGAAAGTGAAGCGAGAGTCACTTTTTTAACACAGGTCCACAGACATCAGTTAATTCTGGTCGTTTTGCATTTGAACCACCAACTCGGAACTGGAAAAACACACAAAAAATCCAAACCAAAACAAAATCTGGCACTTTCTATTCATCCATGTGAATAGTTCCTTTATGTTAATGATTTTATGCTAGAATACAGAAAGTGGTAGGCCTGATTATTAGGAATGTGTAATTTTCCATAGGAAGCCAGAACTATTAGTTTTGCTGCCTTTTCTGAGCAGAATTGAAATTGTAGCATAAAGGAAAAAATAGGTTACTTTGTTCTTTAATTTGGAAAGTACAGCCACTTTATTCTAGACCATTTCATCAAAGTAAAATTATCCCAACTGAGGTGCTGCGCTATTAGTGACTTAAACTGGCACTTGAGTTCTGAGTCCCACAGAGCTTGTGTAATGTCTAGGAGTGTTACTCCACGTGTCTAGCAATTATAATGCCATCCCTGTGTTATCCTGGCAAAAGTGTGGTCTGAGGTCAAAGAAAAGATCACTGGATAAATTTGACCAGAACTCCAAATTATACCATAGCACAAAACAAACAAGAAGAAAGAATCGAGCATTGTTTTTATATATTGTGGGATAGGAAACGAGACCAAAGTTATCTTTAAGCACGTGTGGATTTCAGAATAAAATGCTTGTAAATTACTCTGGTGATATAACACCAGGAAACGAAATGAGCCTGTGTGTCTCAGTGGTCTGGGAAAGCTGCTTCATGCTTTTCTTTTGGAACACCTCCAGTGTGATATTCTCTCCGTTTCATCGCAGGCTGCATCTGTCAAGATCCATCCTTTGTATGTCATGCTGCCTGGTACTCTCAGTGCTTCCTTCGCTTTCATGCTACCTGTTGCAACACCACCAAATGCGATAGTGTTTTCCTACGGCCACATCCGTGTTTTGGATATGGTAAGATTGTAATTGCCTGGTCTCTTCTCTGAAGCTCTCCATTGCCTTTGTCCTGAAATATGGTGAGAGTTAAACTTCCTTAGCCAAGTATTTCCAAAGTGCCAGGAAGCTCCTATGGGCTGTAACCACCACCCCATGCACCTCTCTTATGCGGTGTTAATATTGCAATAAAGATTTGTATCTCTGAAGTAACAGTGCCTTTCTCACAGGCTTTGGCAGATATACATCCCGGCCCAATTGAAACTAAAAACTGACAAGTCATATGTCTCTTAAACACTGAAGGGTTAAAATGCAGCCAGTGCTCTCCAGTCTTCTGGGGCTTTGGCGAATGTAGCTGAAGCCTTGTTTCCACTGGAGCTGAAAGCAGAGGGTAACAATCAGTTGCCCTAGGCCCTGATCCTCTGATTGTCTGCCAGATCACACAGTGCCAGGTTCTGTGCCCAACACCCAAACATTCTTGGTTTTCTAACTGGAGACTTGAAGAGGGCAGAAGCTGTTCTTTAACTAATGAGTGCAACTTGTTGTACATGCTGTAAAGCTCCTAGACTAGTTATATAGCAGAGTGCTCAAAGGCTTTGCACAGTGTGTTCCCTGGTATTTCCATCCAAGCAAGAACATAGGGCAGTGGGTACAATGGCTATTTCTGTGATTTATTTGACAACGTGTCTTTCTTGTGTAGGTACAAATAGGCCTTGCTGCAATTTGCTGTGCTGGTTATTGTTTTTGTTTTGGACTTCTGTCGCACAGGTTAGATCTGGAATAGTGATGAACATCATTGGAGTCTTCTGTGTCACGCTGGCCATTAACACATGGGGAAGACCTATGTTTGAGCTGGACACATTCCCATCCTGGGCAAACAGCACAACTAACCAGTGAGCAGTGAAGAATTCTTGTGTTAAACAAGGAAAAGACCCTTGATATTACTCCCTGTTGCTCAAAGCATTATTTAGAGTCTCATCACCACTTCAGATCGAGTGTCAGGTGTTTGCTGCCTTCCCAGAACCACACATCAGTTCAGGAATGAACAACTCAAATTTACTCCAGTTGTGCTGGAGCAAAAGTGCCGTTTAATTACACAACCTTAAGGATCATAAGTATGACCAAGTGATCTGTTGTACCTCCAGTCAAGGTCAAGATTTAGAATTTATTGAACTCAAAATAAAGAGAGGGCAGGCTGTTGTATCGAAAGGTTTGAACTATCACATCACTGGTATGTACTTGTAAATCATTAGCATTGAACACTGCACTCGGGCAGGGGCTGAAAATGGATTAACTGTTACTTATATCCGTAAGTCAGCAGCTGCACAGAGAATTCTCTGTTGTCACTTCTCTAGTGAAAGAAGGGGTATGTTGTTATGTTATGTTATGTTATGTTATGTTATGTTATGTATGTTACATTTTAGTTGGGCCTTGGCCACATGGTGGAATCCTTCCAAGTCAACATCCAACACGTTTTCCATTGCCTTGTTTTCACTCCCAAATCTTTGCATATCTTTATCGAGAGTTGAGATAACGTAATTCCACACTGGTCGTGATTCAGCTGATGTCCTGGGCAGTGATGAGTTAAGGCTGGCTCTGTGTTTCTTGTGCTGTGGCACCAGCAGGGCCAGGAGCCTTTCCCTCTCTCAGCCACAGGATGCGTTTCACATGCCAGCCCGTGTTTTGTTAGTGCCAGCCTGGAAATGACCTGTGGCCTGTAGGACTGCACACCCATTGTGAAAGTTTCTGGATTAGCCCCTGATGTGCCTTACTAATTAACTCTGGAATTTTGGAGTGGAGGCAAAGCGTACGAAAGGCTCCAATTGAAGGCCTTTTAAAAAAATTAGGGCCTGGATGTTAGGGCTTGTGCTGGCTGACAGCAGTGGGAGCTGTCTTGTGTATTTTGGAATGCATGTCCCATGACAACAGTGTTCTGTAGCACCTGTTTGTGTCATTTCTGAAGCAGAAATAGTCTACAGAAAGATCTGTGTTGGACTACGTCTATTTTGTCAGGATGCCTTTCATTCAGCCCTGGAGATGAAGTTGGGTGCGTAGGGCAATGTGTTACAATGGAGAGATCTGTCTCCCAGACTTGCTGTGCAGCCTCACGCAAGTCAGTTCACATCCTTGTGCCTCAGTTTCCTCTCCTGAATAAGATGTCATGGTACCTATCTACCTCACAAGGGTGTTGTGAGGACATAAGGGTCATATTCTGTGCCCATGGTGATTGCCCACCTCCTGATGAGGGGTGCAAGTCGAAGTTATAGAAACATAGAATCACAGAATACTGGACAGAGCATTCCAGCCAGATCTGTCCTCTGGCATAGTTGTGTGTGTAGGATATTTAACAGTTTTGTTATTAATGTGAACGTTCTTTATAGAACTGGAATATTCACATTTTTGCCTTTAAAAGTGAGGAAAGTATTTATTCACAAAATGACCAGGTGCTTTTCCGAGCAGAAAACTACTTCAAGAGTGGTTTTATTTTCGTGCCTTTATCTTCTGTGCTCTTTCAAGGTGCTGGGCACCACAAACTCTTCGTGGACTGTTGTTCCCAGGTGCCTCCATCAGCACCCTCTCTACTCAGCTGGCTGCATGCGGTGCACCCTCATACCACTTCCATGGACTGGTGGAGCATGTGGATAAACCCTGTTCCACCTGCAGAGCCTAAGGAAGAGGCCAGTTCTAGTGCCAGTAAGTGGCTTGGTCACGGACGTTTGTCACCACCTGAAGCTTATCACAGTATTTGTTTGAAGAAATTGAAACCAGGAGCAGTTAAGCACCTTGTGTGCTTTGCAGTCACCACTTAATGCTGATTTGCATCTGTCGGTATGTAAATGCATTTGACAAAGGCATTTTTTCTGCCTTCTGATGGACTTCACAGTCTGAGGATGTTTCACCACTGCCAGGTACTTTGTGGCGCTTGCTCTTCACTACTGCAAGTCACATACAGTAGAGCTTGGACGGGTGGGTAACACTGAGCGTGCCTGACTCAGTTAGTGCAGATCAAAACTCCTCTGAAACCGGTTTCAGCTAAAAGCTTTAGGACAGACACTTCCCTGTCCCATCTGCAGAAAGGAATGTTCTGAAAAAGTGCCCTTATCTCAACTAAAGGAGAGCTTCCCTCTGTTGCTGTGCAAGTGGAAAACAAATGCTGTTTTCATCACTGGGCACGCTGGGTGATTCACTGACAGGAGTGTCAGGGCAGGGGGACATACATATGGGGTAATAACGCGGGTTTTGTTGTAACTGTGGTGTATTTCATGTTGCCTCTCTGTCCTATAAATGGCAAACGTTTCTTTCTGAGACACTTCTATGACATCCTGTGATTGATTTGTGTTTAATTTAAATGGGTGAGTTGCAGAATTAGAACCCAACAAATAAAAAATTACTAGAACTGTCTCACTCTCTGTCATGGATTGTTTCCCATGTAGGACAGTGGACCACTTGCTTCTACATTGACTTCCACTGTAGCACAGTATTGATCCAGTAAGATCCAGGATGGCACACACCATAGCGAATCAGTGCAAAGCAGAGATTTGGATACTGCTTTAAGTGCCTTCAGACCTACATATCAATGCTTCCTTCTCTTTCCTCAGCTGAGTGATAACTCAAATTCCCATCTTTGAAAATGCTTACGTGGGGCCAAATCAGGTGGCATATCCTACGAGCTGTCTCATTCATTTCAGAGTAAAAGATTGTAAGAATCTAAGGAATACAACTAGTTTCTGAGAATTAATCTTGAACAAACTCTCCAGTATAACAGGTACAAACAAGCTTTTCTTCAGCATCAAGTGTGCATGTCGTCCTGTTCCAGTGCCCTAAGTAAATATATGTGTTACTTACAATGGGTAATTTGCTTACAATGGAACAATCTGGAGCTTTGTTACTGGAGCTAGGTTACATCCCTTTCCAGCACTGCAGAATGAGTATCATGATAGGTACTTGTCGTGCATGGCATTTCTTTTTCTTCTCATGAAAGGGTTTTTGTTTTAGGTTCAAAAGTTGTAGTGGCCCTTAAGTAATGGCATAAAGGAATCCCTTTGACCCCCACTCCAAAACATGCACCACCAAAGCCAGGAGAGAAGGCAGGGGGATCTTCGGTGCGGGCTGTGTCAGGATGGGTCACTTGGCCACACTGCGCTGGCAAACAGCGTCCGATTGACCGGGTGTGGGCAGAGAGGGATCACGGGCACGGCAGCTGTAACCGCAGGCACTGCTGCCTGGAAGGAGCTAAGTTAATGCAGACTTATTCCCACAAAGTACTGGCTGTTTATTCATTAGTAAGGTTCATTCTTTACCAACATTTTAATTCTAACATTTCCTGGATAGCTCTGTTGCTGTCCAGTTAGATTTACTAGGGTTAGATTTTATACCTCCTCTGGTCTTTATATTCTGCCAAGATTTTTGACCTGCGAACTGGCAGGAGGCTTTTTCATGGACATTCATCTGGACAGCCATTAAAATCCAGCTTCTGCTATCAACAGAACACTCAAGGAAGAATAAAGAAGGTTCCTAGAAGGTTGATGGTCATTTTTTGAAGACCTATATCCAGGTAGTGGTTACCTAAAGATTACTTAAAGATTTTTTGGACTTTGCATTTTATACCACTATCGTGTAGCTGATAAATGACAACATGAAATGACCCTTCACTGAACTCTGGTGGTACAGTTTGTTTCGCAGGAAGGCAGGCTTTGTGAGAGTTTCTTCTTTTTGTTTGTGCCCATAAATGCTTTGTTTTAGTGGTGCACCACCCCCTTTACTTTTCACACTGGGGTCCATTGAAATCCTCCTGTCTAGGAGCTCCTCAGTAGGGTTGCACTGACTCCACCAGCTGACAATCGTCGTGTTTGGGGTATTCAGACCAACTCCTTTTCTAATGCCAGCAAGTTCCGTGTGTGCTAGGCTTTGCTTGTACATATATATGTATGTGTATATGTATTATACACATATGTAAAGTGGAGTGTGAGTCTAGATTGCTTAAGTGTATGAATTAGTCTGAGAAACTGAAAAGACTTGTGAAAAAAATATATATAAAAGGGAGACAGTGTGAGTGTAAAGCAAGAAGCTAGAGACTGGTTTATTAGGGCTTTTTTGGACTCTACTCAGACTTTAAGGAAGTTGCTTAACTTTCCTGTTTTGGTCTGAAATGTATTTCACACTTATCAACCTGTAAAACTAGTTGGAAGTATGTCCTGATAATTCATGTATGAAGACAAAGATTAAGTGATTTGCCCAAAGTCTGTGAGTTCAATCAAATTGTCTGAAATTGCTGTGACCCTTACTAAAAAGTAAACTATTTCTCAACAGTTTCTTTATCTTTTTGTAGTAGATTTCTCTCAAATGCTTTGTTATTTAACCTATGGTTTAGCATGCCAGTGCAGTACCTGTGAACTCAATGTGCTGAAAATATTTATCCCGTGCTTTTGCATGGCTAGTTAATAACTGTAGCTTTTCATGGTGAAGGAGAACCTGCTTTTTCCAGAGGGAAATTGTAAGGAATTTCTGTGTCCTATAAGGAAGAGAGGTAAGTACAGCCCTCACCATTCAGAGCCACAGAGTAAAACATATGCATACCATGCTGCTCTGAGGCAATGAGGGACTGCGTAACAAGAGGTTTAGTAGCTCTTTAAAAATAGAGCTGACTATACTGAAACTATTTTTTGACTATTCAGGCTTTTCTGGAGCACTAAGTCAATAGTCGCCCATTCATTATGGTGTAACTGTGGACTGTAGGTTCTGGTCATAAGAGAGAGACCTTTTCTTCTGTAAGAAATGAGGTGTTATCCTTCCTTTGCTTACTTCAGTCCTTTATTTACCCACATGAAATTACTCGCTAGCCTTATTTGGCACACAGCTCTTCAAAGAGTTTTCATAAACTGTTCCAGGGTAGAATGTGAGCCTCATTACAGTGTTCATAAAACATTATTTTTATAGACAAACCGTATTTCATTTGTGAACCATTCTTTGTGAACAATAATATGGGTTGAGCCTTAGCAAATATTTTAGCAAGCCAGTTGAAGATCAAATTTTCCATCAGAAACAAAGTTAACAAAATCTCTCAATTAAAGA